TGATAAGGAGAGAGTTGGTTTTTCAGAAGGTTTAATGTTTTTCTGCTGTGCACTTTTTATTTCAGATTGTGTACCTTTTTTTGATTCTGTATTTATGACAGGAAATACTTTTGTTTCTAAAATTGCAATTTTCTCATGCAACAACTGTATTAATTTTTCTTTGTCAGCAATTATTACATTTTTATTTTCGAGCATTGTTCTCAGAAGCCGATTTTCTTCTTCTAGGTAGGTTTTTTCCAAGGTTTGTGAGTCACTTGTATTCGGAATTGTTTCATGTTTGCATTCTGGACTTCTTAATTCCCTGGATTGTCTAAGACAAGCGGGATTGGAAAATTCGGAACATTTGATGCACTGCACTTTAGTCACAACTTTTTTAGAGCAATGTTTACAGGATAGTTTTTCACTTTCGTTCAGAGCAGGTGAAAGCAAACGTCCACCCGCCGCCATTTTTATATGAGTATCTGAAAGGATTCAGAAAAAATGTAAAATAAAAGTTTCAATTATATAATCACCTTCTTCAATGTAATATCCTTTTCATAGAGAGCGACTTTTACTTGAATATCTTGAATATCTTCATCAATAAATGGTGTTTTTTCTTAGTGTCTTTATATGCCACTATAAGAATAGAATGGGTATTTTTCAGTATAAATACATCTTTCAAAAATGTACTTAAACACTTAATTGATTCATCCATGCATCTCTTGTTATCTATACAGTAAAACGTGTTTTGATCAAAATTGAAATTGACATGATAAAATATTGTATCATAGAAAATGTTGAGCGCCTCATTCAAATCGTCTATAGCAACGATAAATTCAAAATTTTCCAGTATCGATGATTTTCAAAAATGTATAATGTTTTTCTTTTCCGTTTTTACTTGTAGTTTCATTTTTGTTGACGGTATTCAATAAAAGAGTGATTCTATGATCTGAAATATCCCTATCTGAAACACAGTAAGTTCCTTCATTAGAGAAGAATATAAATATTATATCAATTATAGTCATTATAGTCACATTTGTGAAATATTTTATGAATAAGATCATCATTAAATTTCTTAACAAAAAGCAACCAAAAAAATCATTCAAAAATAGTTCCCTTTATTTTTACTGTATTCAATTTTGAATAGTTTAAAAATTAGGTGGTTGAAGAAAATAAATGAAAAAGTGTGGCCTGTCAGTGGAATTTTAACTTGGTATACATATACCATGTTCTACCAACTATTCCACAAAGACAAATTGTATAGATTCATATACTTATACAAAAAAATATATGTACAGGGTTTTTCACGACGAGCGTTCTTTACGAATATATGGAGAATGATTTAAAATAAAAACTTGAAATTTTGTGGTAGTGGGTTTTACAAAATGGCCTTCTCAACTAAAATATTTTCAACTTCAAATGAACTAATTTCAACTCTGTCGTTGGTAAAAGGTAACTTAACATGAAAATGGATGAATTGATAATATGGTGGCTCAAAAATTATCAGCTAATCCCATATTAAACAAGCGGACGAAACACATTGATATAAAACACCATTTCATAAGAGAAGCTATCGCTCAAGAACATGTTGAACTAAAATATTTGGAAACGTCCAACATGCCTGCTGATGTTTCAACAAAGAGCTTGTGTGCTGTTAAACATAATAAATTCATTAGAGTTGGGTATAGTTGAGGTAAAATAAAACACTTTAAAATTGTTTAGTTTTCTGGGAAAGAAAGTTTTTGGCTTTCTACTACTCCATCTTGATACAAAAAAAAGGATGAGGAAATCTTCCAAAGAAAGGAAGGGAGTAATCAATTTGGAAATAAGTAACTCTATACATGGATGTATAAATCATGCAAAGAAGTAACTTTCAGACACAAACTGAAAGAAAGTCCTCCTGAAACAGCTACTTTCATATAAACATTGAATTACAGGAAAGAAACAAAAATTCTTTCAAAACAAATACTTCTATATGAACACTGAATTATACAGAAGATACTTTTCTCTACTCAGTTTGTATTTCAAACATTCGTCGTGGAATAAAAGTCAGATATCATTCACATGAGTTCTACTTTAAAAAATGGTAACAAATTGCAGTTACATGGAACACTGTCATCCTTACTGGTATACAGCGATGTTTTGCCTTAAAACACTTGCCCTAAGGCTCTTCAGTACCAAATTGGATAACATCATAGAAAATACAAACAATTCATTAATGAATTACGATTTTTTAATGTCACGGAATAAGCTTGATCTGCTTATGTCATCTCCTAAAAATATAACCCCTTCAATTCAAATAAGATTCCTCTTGGCTGGGATTAAATCAAATAGGTGAATGAATGTCATTACGATGTCATCCATGACATAAGCAGATCAAGCTTATTCCAAAAATTAATCACTCCTAAAAATATAACCCCTTCAATTCAAATGTTGAGTTTTGTTTTGTTCAAATATTTTTTGAGCTAGCGGGAGTGTTGGTTGAAGCTCAAAAATTATTTCCATGGTGCTCCGCAACAATGTCAACTGCTGAGCTGTAAAAATTAATCTTGGCAACTGTGTAAGAAGTGCGAATATTAAAATGTATGTAATAGCTGACCCTCAACAGAGTTGTTGTTTTGTTTCAATCTTTTGACCTTTTCATCCAAAAACTAACAATTGCCATAGTACATTTCCTTACCTGGTGATTCTTGAAGTTTAATCATCTGTTTATCTGTAAACTGTGACCTATTGTGTACTAGAGTAAAGCAGTGATTGGTATTGCAACTGGAACACAGAGTAGGTTCTGTAATACGACCCCTATCAATTTCAGCTGTTGTTGAAAACTGACAAACAATGCATTTGAAAAAAGCTTCTCGCATTTCCGGCATGATATTCGATGTACGAATCACCATACCACTTATTGTTATCAACTGATCAATATCTAGAATGGAAAATATATTAGAGACCGAGATAATTTTCATATTTTCATAAGTGACATACCTTCTGGATTAAGTGACCTCATATTTTTTGTTTTCTCTGCATTAAATGGTCTCACTTGAATTTGATGATCGAGTACTGCAGCGGGATAACGTTCATAAAACATCTCATTGACTGTCATATCAAAAGTTGGAATAACTTCCTGAGGGTAGCATACCAGCTGCCTGTATAAATTTGCGTCATAAGTTTCCAAATGGGCACAGTTAACATTTAGGAATGGTTCTTCCAAGGTATGTATCTGAAAGTAGTTGTTTGAATACATATGATTTTTTTTTCCTTCCTATCAAAGTGCATTTTATAAGTCAATTCAACAATTTACATACTTCCTCAATATTCATGTAATACTACTTTTCTTATACATGAAATGAATAACAAGAACTATAGATCTCTGAATTTAAGGTGATGCCAAAAAATTAATATTGGTTAGGGAGAAATAAACTTAATGACACCCATTCCAACCATCTTGTTTCCTGCACTAGTATGAACAGATCCTTTGTTGGAAATGTATTTATCAACGGTATCACCATCTACAGTGAGAAGTATAATATCTATAAATGTGTGAACAAGTTGAATCTACGAAAGGTGTTGCAGAACAAAGTTGTTGAGAAAGTATATAATCTTCCATACTGTTATCCCACAGCACAATTATATCAAACTTTACATATCATGGACATACTCTCACTGTACACAATTCAAACCTGTACTTACATTCATAGCAACCAATAAAATGCATTAAAACATTCACCCTAGATTGAATCTACAAGTTCATTACTGAAGTACCAGAAATAGACAACTATTACAAAAAACTACAATCAACAAGTATCAAAACTACTACATCAAGGCGACAAATTCTAAAACCTAATTCCTGAGAATTTAAAGAGTCTTGCTGCCTTTTAAGAAAAAATGTAAAGATTTAATATTCTATCAAATAGTATTACCAATCATATGAGATTGCTGCTGCTATATAACTTTTTTTCTCTAATGGTATTAACGTTCCCTATCAAATTGATACTGTGATAGTTTTTATAAGGCCTATTTTTACATTCAACTTCTTTTGACCCAGATAGATTTCTTTAATAAATGTATTTATAAAAAAGGATAGCTTGTGGTATAAACATTTATATCGAAATTTACTTCAGAGACTGAACTGAGATAGTTAATATCATCTTTGAGATTTTTAAACATAAGCAAAAATCACATTTTAAAATGTAAAACCCTTGTTGAACCTTAGGTTGCACAAGTTTTGACTTCTGAAGGTTGTTATTCATATAGGTTAAAGGAAAAACAGATTGAACAATTTTAAGTATGAACCAACAAGTTTCTAGATATATTGTATTTTGAACATTCTCTATTAGAAACACATTACATTTATAAAATGGAGACCAGATTGCACAGCAACAGTCAAGTGAGGAAAGTACAAAAGGACAATATGATAACTTCATTATATCACAAGAAAAATGTTCACAATTTCATTATATGAATCTAAGCATTTTATTTACAGAAAATGGGGCTACGGAACAAAGTGCTTGGATTGCCCTCACAGCAGATACTATATTCAACGTTTGAGACTTTGATGGGGCGTGGCTTCGTTTCTATTGGTCGAATGAAATTACCTCATTTCACTAGTATATTTTAAGAGAGAAAATTTTGTTGATTTTTTTTTGCGTTTTGTGTTTTTGAATTAAAAATGTCATATTATATGAATATTGTAGGATTCTTCAATCCAATTATTATTTTACTTTAACATGAAAGGTCATTTTTGATTAGTACCAATATTGTGTGAAATTGTGTTTTTATGATAGTTATTAGTCAACTATGGAAAAAAATTCAAAGTTTGTATTGTCATCAAAATACAGTTAGGGAGATTTGGTACAATTAGTTTTTACAAGAAAAATATAATTGAATGTGGTGAATTTAGCCTTTTTTGTAAATTTTCTCAGTCTGGAATTGCTCTACAAAACAATAAGAAAGGAAAACTTGACAAGACTAAATTCAATTTGTATTTGTCTTCTCTTGTCTTACCTCTTCTAGTTTCTGAAGGTACAGTGGTTCATTGAGATTCATATCATCTGTCCTTTCATCTTCATCTGCATTTGGGTCTATGAAACGAAGTATAAATTGTTTGAATTTAACTTTGCATTCTGCCACTGAAACGTTAGTACCCCATATAACTAGATGAGGAGCGGTGGAATCTGATTCTTGACTTTCTGGAATTGCCTCAAGCTGGAAGAAAAAAAGTTAGTGAAAAAAAAACATTACGGGCGTCTCATAAAAATCTGTTCGTGGGTTCTCAGCTTTAAAATCAATATTTTGGAGTGATTTTATCTTTTTCTCACTCAACAAACTTTTTACAGGTAGGTTTCTGCTATTCTTCTATTCAGTAGTAATCTCAAGTGAGGAGCTTATAAAACGCATATAAATACTATTGTGATCGCCCTGTAATCAATCACATGTCATCTTACTTGTCACAATTGACACCTTTTTATTGTTTGTTGTTACTTGTGCAACTTAATTTAGACCTATAGTCATATTTGATGATGTTATTTTGGCAAAATTGTATCATGGAGCAGGATTTGGCAGACGTTGGCAACAAATGTTTAGAAATCTTTTTTTCAGGTCAAATTTTATTATGTTCAGTCATTATTTTAGTATACTTACTTCGAAAACGTAAAAAAGCAAAAGCACCTCTACTTGGTAAGTACAATTTTGAATATTTTTATAAACAAACAAAAAATTACTTTATTTATATGTTGTCCAAAAACATACAAGAACTCCCATTAATTTGAAAAAGAAACATCTTTAACAATTCAAAAGATGATACTGCACCTGATACTATACATTATTGATTGCCTTACCTATAATCTAAGATGATCAGTGGCATTATTATTCAACACTTGATATTATCTAATGATTAGACTATAAGAAATAGGAAGTGATATTTATCTTCATTATTCAGGAGAGCTATTTTGATTTCAGATACTGATTTTGTCTACAATTCCGAGTGCCCAATTTGTTTCAATGAACTCACATTACCAATCAAGTCTGACTGTGATCATGGCTACTGCATAGAATGCCTTCACACCTACTGGAAAAAACGTACATGGAAAAATATATGCCCCTTATGCCGCCAGTCTTTGAAAAATTTGAGACTCGTTGAAGTGAGATCATTAAACAACTTAGATTGACTTAGATTTTAGATTTTGTAATTCCTAGTTTGTTACATTTGAATGATTTTTTTCAGAATGAAACCTGCCGATATCCAAAGTTAACACGAGAAATACTACTACAAAAAGTTAGTGAAATGTCAATGACACATTACAGAGGTATTAGGTTCTGTGATAAAATATTTACAGAAACTGCTTACTACTTCATCATTGGAACATTTTTACTCATACTATGGACTTGGGCAGTCGTAAATACTGATAAACTTATATATTATTCTTTGTGGATATATAATTCTTTTTATAATACCAAAAAAGAAATAAATTCATAAAAATATAGTATGAAAAAATATAAGTAGCTTATTATGTTAACAAGAATACAACCAAAATCATAATTATTTCATTGAGATATTTCATTAATCACATGCATATTTTCCAGAAGTACTCAAAATTATTTTGAAAACATTAATAGCTGAACAGTGGCGAGGTATTTCAATAACAATTTGACCTAAAAAACTCTGTATTTTCACTTCAATAATCTAATATAATTGTTAGATATTCATCTTTTTTAACTAAAGCATTCGCAGTAAGTAAAGGTTACGTTCCCGTGGTAGGCTAACCTACAATCAACATCTAGAATGAATAAAAAAACAGGCTGAGGTAGAGGTGAGTTCTCAAATTCAACAGAAAAATTACGATGAATTGCTTTGTCATATAGAAAAGTGCTAGTTTTCCATCTATGGAAAGAGGCTGAAACCAGAGATGATATACTGGCTATATGCAATGGTGAATAAATGCTTGATAACATATGTATATTCGGTTTCATTTGAAAAAACTATTGAATCTGCTTTATGATTTCTAATAATAAAGGGAAAGTTCCCAAGTACGCGCAATGACCTACTGGAAACACTTTTCCGTCAAAGAAACTAAAAATTCTGTCACTCGACACAGGAGATGACTAAAACTTAATGATGCTTACTTAGTAAGCGAACAAGCGTCGAGCATTTTTTTTTTCGGTGAGGAAAGTGTTTTGCTCATTTGAAGAGACTACATTAAAGATCTATCCTCAAAGTTATCCAGTGTTCTTTACATGCATCGTAGTATCACTGAATTTGTTCCTTTTTATGTTTCTAGAAAAGCATACATGGGGCTATCTCAGTCTAAAGTATCTCATGGTCTGCATTTCTGGGGAATTTTCAACTGATTGGAAGGGTATATTTTTATCCTACGAAAGATGACCCTTAGAATTTGGGTACAATAAAACGAACCAACAAAAAGATCATGACTATTTCAGCTTTATGCATATTTCATTGTCTTGTTTACATTAGAACACAAAACATTACCACACTTGATTGAAACTATGAATATACAACTAGAAATGGTGACAACCTCTTATGCCTCATCATCACCTGGCATAAGGCTCATCTACCATCAATCAACAAGTATGAAAAATCGGCTTATGAATGAATTTAGGAATAATATGAAAGAGCTGCCAGTTGATCTGCTCTGATACAACATTAATGATACAACATTAATTACTAGTTCGGACTTCCATTGTGAAATATGATATAATAAATATGATTTGAAATCTCTGATAGAACAAATAAAATTAAAAATTAAAATGAATGGCTAAAAATAACAATAGTATTAAGTAAAAACCGTCGAGATATGACTATTTATAGCTAATTCGATAGCTTTCACCTATCCTCTCCTCCCTCGCTCTGCTTCACAGGTTTAGTGGGAGTTGTCTGTTTTTCGATTGATCAAAGGTTTCCATATATTGCATATATCTACGCTAGCTTGGCTGAATGCATCGTTGGACAACATATATGCAGCTTCTTTAAACTTCCTCCTGTAGATGATCTCAGCTTGGAACCACTTGATGTTATGTTAAGGTGTCCAAACATGCTCTGTTATTTCCGATTTGCTGGTTTCTCCTCACTGTGTGTTTCTCTTGTGCTTGGCAATGCGGACTTTCAATGGACTCTATATCGGTGAAACTAAGAGGCCATTGAAAGTCCGCATTGCCGAACACAAGAGAAACACACAGCGAGGTGAAACCAGCAAATTGGGAATATCAGAGCATGTTTGGAGACATCAACCTAACAAAGTGATCTCAAGCGGAGATCATCCACAGGAAGGAACACTGGTTTAAGAGGAAGTTCAAAGAAGCTGCATATACTATGGACTTATGCAGTCTATTTTATCTTATGGATTGCCCTTCTGGGGAAACTCAGCTCATACCATGAAAGCATTTTAACTCCAAAAAAGTGATAAGATGCCTAGCTGGACTTAAGTTTAAAGAATCATGTAAGAACACATTCACTCAGCTGACCATACTTAGTCATTCCTGCCTGTACATATTTGTAGTAGCCATAAATATAAAAAAAAATGAAGCTCACTACACAAAAAATAATATGTGCAATAACTACAACACATGAAGGGGTAACGAATTAAGACTACCTTACTCACGTTTGGCGGTGGGACAGGACTCTGGGAGTTATCAAGGCATCATTTACTATAACCATGCAGTAAACTAATTGAAAATAAATGCAGTCTGCAAACATTTAAATCGAAATTATACAATCACCTCGCAAAGAATGCATTTTATTCTGTACAAGAATTTTTAAACTTTGATTGATTGATTTATTCATTTAGGTAGGACAATCCTAATTTACAAAAAATAAAATAGTTAACATACCTATTTAACAATAAATATAACTTATAATAAATGTAAGTATAAAGATACAAAGGGCTATTCAAATTCGTTTCTGTACATGTGGATCTCGTAAACGATAATAAAGTTTGTGGAGATCAAATCGTTGAGGTGTAGTTTTTGAAATTACTGTGGATCTTCATCAAGTAACGGCCGAATCAATCAGAAAAAAAAACAGTATGAAGTGAACGTCTACGATCCATAAACTACAACAAAAAATACAGGTCCGTATTTAAAAATTCAAAGATGGGGTGCCAAGTCAGATGACACCCTGTATAAAAGATTTATGGATATGTTCTGATAGCCCAAATCAAGTGCCTATAGCAAAATGTGGACAGATTTTCAATATTTCTGCGAATAAAGAAGATATAGGTGAAAAAATTATTTGGGATTTTTTGGTTTTTCCTGTATATCTCCAGAACCAAAAGAGCTACATTCGATTTTTTTACATCATTGAATAGGTCTCTGAAATACGCAACTTTGACACAATTTAACCGACACTCTATCTCTTATCGTTTACGAGATCCCCATATACAGAAACGAATTTAAATAGCCCTGAATAATAAATTTGAGTATAAATATACAGTATAGAATAGAATACAGTATAGAATAATGGTGGAATATTTTTTTTTAATTATAATACAAAATCAAATTTTGTTTGAATTCTGGTATACTTCTTGACTCTTTTAACATATTGTGGTAAATTATTGTACTGAATGAATCCTTTAAAAAATAAACTTTTTACACTGTATGAGGTACTCTGCCTGTTTACATATAGATATAAGTCAATAAGTTGCTTTTCTTTTATTTTTGTAATGTATATGTATATAGCCTACTGCTCAGGATTGACTAGTCTGATAAAATTTTATAAATGTGATGTAATTCAATGCAATTGTAAAATTTTTAATGACGATTATATTCTATTCTATTCTATATGTTGTCCAACAACACATTCAGCCAAGCTAGCTAGAAATATGCAACATATGAAAACCTTAAATCAACCGTAAAAGTGTTCAAATGATCTATACATAGTCATCTCTCGAAGAAATAGTCCAGTCATAATAAAGAAAAGAGAATTGAAACTTTCTACGTTTTTTACCACTTTTATAAAACTTTTCCCACTTTTATAAAAGTTTCAATTCTCTTTTCTTCATTATGATTTCCTTCCAAGTAGTAATGGCTACATCTATCAATTTAATAGTCCAGTCATCACCCAAAGACGATTGTGGATACAACAATCCAAACGCCGTGAAGTAACTCGTTTTGAAATCTTTTAAATTAGTAACTCGATTTGAAATCTTTTTAATTTTTCATTTCCTTTTTTGATTCCTCAATTTTCAATTTTTTGCCTATTTCCACAGCAAAGCAGTCAAATTATTTATGAACAATTAAAATGATCAATCATTCAAAACCTCTTATGAAGAAATTATTTGTAAATAAAATAGTATTCAAAATTAGTTTTGTTTTTATTTCTTGTAAAAATCACTCGAACAGGTATAGAATCAGAGTCGGAGATGTTTTATTGTCACAAAAGTTTAGGTTTTGTTGATAAAGCAGGCTTAAGAAATAAAACAATCTGAAACATTAACACAAAGGTCAAGAATTTAAAACAAGATATTAATATGGCTCAAGCACACTTCAAAAAGTCTATGGTAGAATTCTGTGATAAAAAATGTTATATGTTGACAAAGTAAGTTGTGAAGTCATCCGAAAGAAATTCCTCAATACTATAATAAGCTTTATCTAGCACAAGCTTTTTTACTCTTTTTCGAAACTGTTTGTAACATGTTAACTCTCTGATTGAAAAGGGGAGATGATTTAAATATTTTTTGTTATTATAAAGAATCGAATTTTTAATTTGTGCTGTTGACAGGATAGGAAGAGGAATAATGTGAGACGAGTAGCATAACTTTGAGTTGAGTTCAAGATGTTATCTTTGTGCTCTTTCTGCATTAGGCAGATTGTTTCTAAAATAAAGAGGCAGTAGATTGTTAAGATGTGATGAGTTTAAAAAGGGGCTTACAGGAATCTTGGACTCTAGCTATGGTAATGAATCTCACTGCTCTTTTTTGAATTGTGTGAACTTGACTTAATTAAGTTTTGACAGCTGCTCCTCCATTGTTTAACTTTGCCTATATCATGCTAATTTTTAGTGCATAAGTGCTTCTTCCATGCCAAAGTATAGACGTATCGTCAGCAAAGGGCCGAGGACAGATCCTTGAGGTAATCCGCATTTAATGCTAATTTTATCTGAAATTTATCTGAAATTCACTACTTGAACTTGATCTGATAGATATGACTCAAACCATAACAAGATTTTTTCTCTAAATCCGTAGATTTCAAGTTTTTGAAGCAATATTTAGTGATCAACACAGTCAAATGCTTTTGTCAGATAACAAAATACTGCCACTGCAACCTCACCAACATTCAGTCAAGGTAAAGTTCTTCTAAAAAAGCAAACATTGCATCATTTGTGCTCTTAGAGGCTTGAAAGCCATATTGATTGGAGTGAAGAATATGATTCTTGTCAAGAAAATTTAGGATTCTCTTTTTCATTAACTTTTACACGATTTTAAATAGAGTTGGCAGTAAAGAAATAGGCCTCATGTTCGCGGGTATATTAGAATCGCTTCCTTTAAATAATGGGATAACTTCAGCAGTTTTTAGGCAATCTTGAAAAATACCATTTACGAGAGATAGGTATATGCTCATACAACTCCATATTTTTATAAAGAGCTTTTCATAGGGAAATCACATGGAAAATAAAATTAGGGTATTCTATTTGAACAGACCAAAAAACATTGTTTTTTAGTGTTGATTCACCCACTATCAATGTGAAAATTTTTGATAATAAAAGAAATATTATTTAAATATCCCTATAACAAAACAGACTGTATGTACAATTGTGATTTCATTGAAAATGGAGAGTTGAATAGACTAGTTTTTTGGTATTATTTTTGGAATAACTTCTGAACCATTCAGTATACACTCATAAAATCTAATATTTTTAACAGTACTTTCCTGATGTAAAACGAATATGAAAAGCAATTGATGATATTTCATTTTAAAAACCTGACTTTGATATGCCATGATTCTACAAGGTACCCTGCATATTGAAGAACATTTTAAAAAAGCCCAATGAATTAATATTAATGGACGCTCAATGTGACACACACTATATGCTTCTGCAAACAATATCTAACATTAACTTTCACTTCTATCCTACTATTTTGTGCTTGATAGTGTATTAGTTGATTATTTTGATTTGTATTTACATCAGTTTGCTTCACTTTTATATTTTATGTATACTTTTTGAAATTCATTTTATGTATTCTATTTACATTTTATGAAGGTGAATTTTATTATTATCATCGTTTCTTATACATTTGACAAATTGACCACCCATCTTGAATTCATTGGGTAAGAAAACTCCTAACTATAGGTCCAAAAGGGCTTTTGGGAATACTATAATCATATCAGTAGAAAATTGAAATTCATTTTTCTGCAAGTAATGAAATCTTTCAATGTCATCCATATCACGTAAACACTTACCGCAGCATCTCCTCCTATATTAACTTGTCTAATTCTCTTATCGGAACGTACGTCAGGCCTCATGCGAATAGGTGTTCCTCTTATACCAGATCTAGGAGTCCTGATAGATCCCAAAGAACTTGGTGTTCCATAATTTAAAGGAGAACTCAAATCAATCTCACTCATTGCCAGTCCTACAGAAGTATTAGTTGAATAAATGCAACTTTCCACAAAAGTTTACTCTTTTATTGCAAAATAATTTTAAAAAACCAGCAGAAATACTTTACAGTTATAAAAAACAGTATATGTAGCTTGTCAAATGTAGGAAACAACTTCAAAATCTCGGCTTAAGCCCTCCCCTAAGATGCATGTTCGTTAAGAGACTGTGTGTGTGTGTGTGTGTGTGTGTGTGCGAGAGAGAAAGAGAGAGATAAGTCTCAAGTCTCCAACTAGTGAGATTTTCACTAACAGTTTTACAAAAATGCAAAATGTTCTGCCGTACAATGGCTTCTTTGGGTGTGTCTTTACTCTATTGGAGGTGCAAGATATTCTCAACTCACAGAGACAGCAGAAGAAAGAAAAGACATAGATAAAGAAAGGCAACAAACAATTTCCAAATACTCTCTCAAGATCTAAAGGACCCCCTTCATGGACCAATGATTTTTATATGGGTGATGAATATGCATTTCTCTCATCTATTATTAAAATAATACAAGGAAAAGCGTTAAAAGAATGAAAGGATGTGAATAAAAATGAAAAATCACATTGGAAAAATGAAACTTGGAAAATCGTAGACAAAAAAGAAAAACGCGAATGGTTTTAACAGAGAAATGTAAGGCAAATGGCGTAGTGTAAATTTTGAGACTATCATCATTCCTGATTATAATCAATCTACAAAGAACATGTCAGAGAATCGAATTATTAGTTCAAAAAGAGAACATTTTCTTAATGAAGCAGTGGCCAATGGCATTGTGAAGATGGAAAGATAGATGAAATGGATGCAGAATCTTTAGGAAACCTTCAACAGGATCAAAGTTCTTCAACTTAAGAAATTATCTAGGACTAACGGTGGTTACAAGAGAAATTGAAGAATGAAATCTTTACCCACGAAGGGGATTGTTGGAAATACCCTTTATTAATATAAAAATAACAACAGAGTTAATCAAAGTTGTAGTTATGTTTTTATCTGTTTTAAAAAATCTGTTTTTCAGTTAATCAGCTGTGGCCCCCATATTCCATATTATTATATAAAATTGATAGTTTAAAAGTTATACCAGAATTTATTTTGTTTGATAAGTAATATATATGAGTAAATCATCAAGTATCTAATGCAATAGAGATATTAAGAAAACAAAGGAAAAAAATTAGCTATAGAAATTGAGTACTGAAGAATGTGATGTTAGCCGACAAGAATAACCTGAATGTCAAATAAAGAAATCAGTAAAGAATGAAAGGTGAAATCAGATATATTGGAAATATAGAAGAACATAATGTTTGGAAATTTTGGAAGAAAAATGACTACTAGAATTTGCTTCAAAATTGAAAAATCACTGAAAAACATAGTAGAGTAAAGAAAAGCCATATTTAGATATAGAAGCCTTTATATTAGTGTTAAGTACATTATGAACATTTTGAAATAATGTTTGGCAAAGAAATTTTAAGTGTTTTGAAATGAGGACTGAGCATTTAGTAAATTTAGTATCTTGTATTTGAAAGTTTCAAATTGATATCAGGATGAATCAACCTTATATTTAAAAAAAAAGTGTCAGCAACTTCATATATTTGTGGCATTTTCATTCAAAAAATAAAGTCCTATAAGATTCAATCTCCCCTGTTTAAATCAAAATAAAAATCTGACCTGTGCCAGGGCTGGTTGGAGCAATGCTATGAGCTGGAGAGGAAGGAATTTCACTCTGTCCATCAATGTCATTTCTAGGACCTCCCCATCTCATTGGGGTATCAACAGCAGATGATACACTTTTTGCAGGAGTAGGACGGCCCTTTCGAGGAGTTCTTGTTGATGAAGCTACACTTCTTGTAGGAGAACTATCATCTCTTCGAGGAGTTGCAGCACCTCTACGAGGTGTTCGCCTGGGTGTGAGAGGTGGTTCCCTCCCTGGAGTTCTGGAACCATCAGCCATCCTAGCTGGGGTTCTAGAACCTGCTCGCCTTGGGGTACTCGGTACATCGTCAGAAGGAGCTGGAGATGGCATTCTATAAGAAAATGTAACAGATATCCCTCATAAAGAATTAGAATCGAAGGAGATGATTTACCTCAACTTTTTCACTCTATTACTTGAGAGACGATTGTGTTATTTTGTACTTGATTAAAAATATAGTAGCTTGTAGCCCACAAATTGAATGAACGCCACTCAAAAATACTAATTTTGCCTATGGTATGAAAGTATACACATAACCGACATAACATTAAAAATTTGCGGGAAGTTTTCTATTTCTTCTTCTTTTCTAATCAGTCGCCAGTCTTCTAACCAAAGTTCATTTAGCCAGGTCAGGATTAAATTGTTTGAAGATGCCGATGGTGATAAGTGTGGTTAGAAATATATCTATAATTCTTTGTATAGTATTCCACTTACTGACAGATAAAAATGGTACAAAAAGATGCATCCTTTTAGACGCTTTAACTTTAATTCGCGTTTTCAACTCGTAAAACACCATGGGCCAGTTTTATAGGTTCCGTTTAAACTAAGGTTGTTTAAACTACGTATTTGACAGGTTTGAGTGTTTTATAGGTTCCAATCAAGGATAATCTTCCGATTAACCTCGAACAACTGGATGATTTACCTCCAACGATGGATGAAGCAGAACTTCAACTTAAGATCAGGTCGGAGATTCGTATTAGCTAACAAAGTAAGGCATATAGGCATCTTTCCCAAGAACTGATCTCTTCTAAAAAAATCAAAATTTCAATTTAAACTAGATTCCTATGGCTGGGATTGAATAAAACGAGCGTATGAATGTCCATACGTACTGGCATCGTGATATGAGTAAATTAGTCTCATGTGCGGCAAAAAGTGAGCGCTAATATTATCCAAAATGGTGCTAATGAGGTAATATGACTTGTCTTATTCCGAAACTTTGAAGTCCGCCATTAGAAATAATAGTTTGTTCCATGTAAGTGAAATTTTATTCCATAACTCTTGATTTATCATATTGTGCAGAGTTCCTATGAATAATATATCTGATTCAATTCCATACAAATGTTTGAAATACAAACAGGCGGATCACTCAAAGGGATTTCCGTATATACAATGTTCATATGAAAGCATTGTTTTGAAAGTATTTTTTTCTTGTAATTCAAAGTTCATGTGAATAGAGAGGGCTCTTTATCCCATCTTGTATCCGATTGTAACATCTATATGTTTGAGCAACGCATCTTTGTAAAGAGTTTATTTAGTATATAAAGATGTAGATGTGAAAGCCAAAAAAAGCTTTATTCAAAAAAAAATGTTTTTGATATATTTGACAATAAAAAGGTAAATTAAATGTTTCTCATAATAATGATTATTTTCATAAAATTATCATTATGTATGTCACAATGCTCAAAATGCAATTGATTTGCTTGGAGATCGTTTGTTTAATAAACTAAATCTATATTCACGATTTTCAAGATATGAAAGAGGAAACATAAGTATTCACATTGCATAAGAATTATTATAATAACCAAAAATAAATTGACACAATTCGAATACATTTTGGGGTGAATTATTATTATTATTTATATGCATATAAACTTCAACAGATATAAACTTCGATATCTATCAGCATTTGTGAGTTACACCATGATTTTAGAAAAGTTGCTGTTACTTTTTTCCTGTCAAAAATTTCTTGTTTCTATGAAAACATTTCTAAATCACTTCTTCACGTAGAATTCAATGCCGTGAAAAACTAATTTTTTCGAATGAGATATAAAAATAGTTATTGATGGAAAACTATTTTTTAATGAGACATTCTGTATATTCCTGCTTTTAATAGAGCTTAAAATTACCTTTCCAAACATGCTGCACAATTGAGTTTTGCTAGTCATCTTTGAAATACAGAGCTTTTAGGTTTTTTCATGCAGACTTCGAATCGCTCACTTTAATCATGTAGGCTTTGGGCGACAAAACAGAAAAACATTTGTTCAGTAGTACCTATGAAATGTTGAGAAATTTTTTTACCGCAAAGCAATTTATACTATATTTTCTACTAATAAATGAAACTTCAACAACAATAATAATAATAATGAACAAACAATGAGATATAGTTCTTCACGGAAGGTCTTCGAAATGTCTACCAGCTTCTCTTAGACACAGGCGACACCTTTTCTTAACTTTTTTGCCGAATTAATTAGTTTCATAGTAGTGAGAGAAGCAAAACTGTCGCTTCCAATTCGTATCTAAAATTAGTTAGCAATTTGAAAATAAGATATTTCAACCTTTCCCAGAGGTAAAAGTCCATAGGGGTTAGGTCTGGTGACCTGGCCGGCTACCGATTGGGTCCTTGGTTGGCTATCCAATTATTACCAAAATTTGAAGCTGAAAATTGGTGCCAATTGCAATGTTGTAAAGCGAAGCCCCGTCTTGTTGAAAATATATTTTTGAGCTCCATTTTTGGGAATTCAACAACAAGTAGTTCAATATTTTGTCTTGGAATTTCTAAATAACTCTGAGATGTGAGAGAGACATTAAATAACTGGCGGGTAATTCTACCCTTAAAATAACACGTGTCTACATACGAAATTAAAATCTTCCTTGACTTCTCTGCTACACAATAGAATGAGGATTTTGTTGTGCCCAAGTAGATAGTAGATGCTGGTCCCACCCGGCATCGCCCGGTGAGATACCATCGCAACGACTTAGGCAGCATGAAGTTGCTTTCGGGCTAACGTTGCGTTGCTGTGCCGCTGTTTCAGGTTTCAAGGGTGGGAATATAAGGAAAAATGCATGATGGCACTCCTAGGATCAACATACTCAGGAGGTAAAATAGCTCCCCAATAGGATCTCCGGGTGGGGTCTGATTCAAGGGCACATCATCCTGCAGAAGTTATTCGAAAACCACTATTTCTGACTGTCAGCAGGGTCTTCCTAACATCAGTTCACAGGGAAATATCATGATAAATGAGCCAACCGGGATTTCTGACCGTGATGGAAAATATGCGCTAGTCTTCTGGATTTATACCTAACAACCAATCCAGAAATTTACAGTCACCGTATGGTCTTCATTGGGATCTTCTGAACCACAAACTCATTTCAGTATTGAGTGAATTACCGGTAAATGTTGGGGAACAATCTAGGCCGCGCAAAATTTGGCATTACAGATCAGCTGAATGGGAGGATCTTCAAGACCATTTCCGAAATTTCCCCTGGCTAGATGTTTGTTTCAGCTCTAAAGGTTCATCAATTTGTGCTTCTGAAGTTACGGAAGTAATTCTATCATCCATGGATGCATATATTCCTTTTAAAAAGAAACGACCTTCTAACGCAAACTTGGTTGAACAAAATTTGCGAGCAAGCTGTCGCCTCCAGAAATATTGCCTACCGGCAGTGAAGCAAAAATCCTAGTGCCGAACACCGAACTAGGTTTGTTAATGCTCGCAACAACTGCAAACTTAGGATAAATGAAAGCAAAGAACTTCACAATCAGAGAATTGAGGATAAACTGCTTGTCAATCCCAACGGGTCTGGATCTTTCTGGTCAGTAGCTGAAGCTGTTAATAAGAACTTTACAAAATCCACTACTAATACAAGCGGATGGTTTAAGTGCAACAACAGCCATAGAAAAAGCAAATCTACCATCTGAACAATTTGCGTCCCACTCCACAGTCGATTTTCTGGGAAAGGCACAACCCATTATTCCCACACTAGAATCCACAATGCCTGAAATTAATTTTCGAGAAAGTTTAATCAGGTGAATTTTGAAACAGCTCAATATCAATATGGTTCAGGTCCTGATATGAAGTGCCCTTCATCATACTCAAAAAGTTCCTTGAAAAACCGTTCCTTGCAAGTGGCCGTCGATTCATATCTCAGTAGATAAATAAGGTTAGTCTGGGGACAGAGATATATCATTCAATGTGTAACAGAAAGAGCTGATTATGGCATCTTGGAAATCAACGTCATCTTTGGGGCTGCAATTTGTTAACATAATTTCTAATTTTGTTGTATTTTCGAGGTTTTTATATGAATAATTATCGTATGTGACCTTCGAGGTCGCAGTTTGTTTACAGATCTACAAGAACTAGCAGGGGTGCACAAGAACTTACGTCATTCCATTGTTCTCGGGGTTACATTTAAGCCTTTTTTGCATATCTTTACGTACCTATGTCACCCCTACAGCTAAGGGTGGAGAGAACTCGATGATTGAGTGCAGAGGTTATACAAACAGCAATTATGTAAAAGTTGCATCTGCTCATCGTTTTGACGTTTAACTCAGTACAACTCGAACTGTACGAACTGTTTAAGAACTCTTTCATTTGGAGAACTGCGTTTATGTTGAATAAACTTTCTGAGAACGTTTTTCCAAATGATTTATTACCGAATATTCTTGAAAAACAAGAAAAAAAACAAATATTTACTGGTAAATATTCAGGAGAAACATGAAAGACGGAGAGAAAGATCGTAAATTAATGATAAATATACAGGAAAAACAAGAAAAAAAATTGATTATGTAAAAGGAGTTAGAAAGCAGAAAATATTTGAACTAGTTGTTGGGAAGGAAAAATTTGAAATAATATTGAAGAAAAGGAAGGAGTTTGAAAAAGTAGCCAATGGGAAGCTTGAGGGGGTTGAAATATAATTTGAAAAGGAGCTTAAANCGCCGCTCCGGGCAAAATAATATTTGCCGCCTTTTACCCATGCGTTATTCCATAGATGGTGTAATTTTAACCTATAAAAAGACAAATTTTCCCTGCCGATATTAAAGAAACAAAAATAAGTTTCGTTTTAAGATATTTATTCAAATCCAGCATCCACCACAGCTTGAAGGACGCAGTGTGACCACATTTTATTTTTGTAAACTACTAAAATATTATGTGAAATTTCAGTGATGTCAATAGTAATATATTATATTCTAACAACTTTTGTGTAGGGTGTGGTTTTTATTGTTTAACCATTTTTCAAATTTTTGCCGCCGACGCCGCGCCTTCCTCAATTTTGCCGCCTCGGGCAATTGCCCGGTTTGCAGCCCCCCCCCTTAATCGGGAGCTGAATTTATCGCAGACAATTTGAAACCGCTGCGGAAACTAATAGGTGTAAAAATGATGAGAAATCAACAGCCCTTATACTGGCACTATCAGAAAAGGTTTCAGAAATTTTGGAAAATATTCCAGTGAATAAGCAGAGAAATCACGAAGCAGTGTATCAATCTATACGACCATAAGAAACAAACTGTTGAAAGTTGGAAATGAAAAAAAATCTTCTCGATGTACCCTCTCAACCTTTTGACAATGTCAAAATGGT